AGTGCTATATCTAGTCGCCTCTTGAATACATTCAAATGTTTTGGCATCAACTGCTTCATGTGGTAATGAATTCCACAGGCTCACCACTCTTTGGGTGAAGAAATGTCTCTTCATCTCTGTCCTAAATGGTCTACCCCAAACCCTCATACTGTGCCCCCTGGTTCTGGACACACCCACCATCAGGAACATCCTCCCTGCAGCTGGCTATATGGCATTGGGCAGTGTAGTGGTTTCAGCTTCACACCTAGAGTTTCAATGTTCACCTGCAGCTTTCACTCAAAACGTTAATCCTGTCGCTCTGATCATGGTGGCATATCCTTGGTTGTACCCCTCAGTAGTGACTCCCTCCCAACATCACCCACATCCCCCCAGCACCTCACCTCCTCCCCCTCACCACCAACAGTGCTGCACTCCCTCAATCCTGCCTCAACCCTTCACTCTGCCCGTCTGACAGTGCAGCACTTCTTCAATGCGCTGCCCCCTCCCACAGTGCAGCATGCCCTCAGTGTCACCCCCTCTACACTCCCTCAGATAAAACTAATAACTGTGGGCACTGAAACAAAAACATAAAGTGCTGGAGAAACACAGCGACTATGCAGAGAGAGAGAGAAAGAAAGAAACAGAACTAACGTTTCAGTTCCAGTGAGAGATAGTAGGAATTGCAGATGCTGGAGAATCTGAGACAACAAGGTGTAGAGCTGGATGAACACAGCAGGCCAAGCAGCATCAGAGGAGCAGGAAGGCTGATGTTTCTGAAGAAGGGTCCTGGCCCGAAACGTCAGCTTTCCTGGTCCCCTGATATGCCTACACTGTTATCTCGGTACCAGTGACCCTTGTTCAGATCTGGATTTGAAACGGTCCCGCTGTTTTCACAGATGCTGAGTGTCTGCAGCGATTTCTGTTTTTCTCTGGAGCACTCCCTCAGTACTTTCACCCTCCTGACCCCAGAAAGTGTGCTGCTATTTCTGGAATGATCAGCCTAGATTAATCACGCAATTCTACGGAGTGGGACTTGACGCAGGACTCGCTGACTCACAGATGTATTACCAACTGAGCTGTACCTGTGGTGTTGGAATTATCTTCTGTTTAAGCAGAGTCTGTCGCTGCTTTCTGGCCAGTTTATTGGGCTCACTAAAGTTATAAAATGAAGAACGTCCTTTGCTGCAACTTGTTCTAGGTCAATGATAACCCGCAGCTTCAGTCCTGTCATTTCGCTCGACTTGTAAGGTGGAGGATTCATTTTGCTGGAAGTGAATGAGGGAATAAAGCCCCAACCAATAGACCGGAAGGATGTCAAACCACTCGGCCACGACTACAGGAGACTAAGGGTCTAAGCCCGAAACGTCAGCCTCTCTGCTCCTATGATGCTGCTTGGCCTGCTGTGTTCATCCAGCCCTGCACCTTGTTGTCTCGGATTCTCCAGCATCTGCAGTTCCTACTATCTCGGATGTCAAACCACCCAGATCATGTCACCTGAAACCTGTGATTAAACTCGAGTGAGTTACCTGTACCATGAGAACTAGTCGTTAAAGTGGTTTCTGATTTACCTGCAATTCTCCCCACTCCCCCCTTTACCAAAAACAAAGCAGCAGCAAAGACGAAAACAGCAGCTGATGGGACAGCATGATGGAACGCTACAACTGACGGCAGTGTACACCGTCTACCGGATATACTGCAGAAATCTCCGAGGCCCCTCGAACAGCACCTTCCAAACCCATGACCTCTACCAGCCAGAAGGACAAATGCCGCAGGGGAATGAGCGCCACCAACTCCCACGAAATTACAGTTTGCAAATCTTAGCTTCACATTTATAGCTCATTTAGCAAGAAAGCCATGCTCCGAGTCAGTTATGGCCTTGACTCTCTAATTTATCATGCTGAGTTTCTAAATGAATAATTAACTGGCAAAAGATTGCAAGAAGTGATTTGACTCTTTCAACACTACATTCTGTCTGCATCCTGCACCTATCAAATTCCAACACCAGCAAATTCGCCAACATTTTATGTCAAATTGATGTGGATTTAGATACATTTCAGTCTGAAATTATAATGATTCAACAATCATTTTATTTGTTTTTGTACATCTCTCAGGTATGGAGAGAGAATCTCCTCTGAGGTGGCTGAACCTAGTTTCAGCTGAGCAAGGAGTGCTGCATCAGGGCTAAAAAGGGTTAAACTATGAAGGCAGGTTTCATATGTGAGGTCTGGGAGAGCACAGAAGATTACAGCATGAACTAATTGAACTGTTTAAGATGATTAAAGGAGAAACAGAGACAGAGAGACAGAAAATCAGGGAGTATTTCTTCAAGCAACTAGAATTCTCTCCTAAAAAAAGTTGCCAATGGCAGGGCTGTCGATTGAAGATTCCCAAATGCAGATTAATTGATCTTTGCGAGACAACGATAGCAGGGGATAGTGGAATCCAGGTGGATAGATGGAGTTAAAAAACAGATCAGCCATGATCTAACTGTGTGACAGATCAGGCTCACAGGAATGAATGGCTCCTCCAGTCACTAAACAAAGGAATGGAGTGGCAAGGTAGGGACATTTGGATAGGGGGAAACAACATGGGGGGGGGGGGGCATGGAAAGCCAAGAGAAAAGAAACAGTGCTAATAAACATGTGGTTATGTTCCTGGACCAGAAATCCAAAGGCCTGTGGCATAACAATGTTCTGACTCCTCATTGCCCCTTGGAGAGACATAAGACATTAAAACATCCACAGAGTGGGAACAAAGCTTACCACTCACTAATAAAAGCAGGCCTTAGCATTTGATGCCCATTAAAGAATGATTTTTTAAAAACAATATGCAGTAAAGCAGAATTTCTGTGTATATTTAGGCAGGCTGTCATCACTCTGGACCTTTTGCCTGCCTGCAGGGTCATACAAATATATGAACATATTAATTCTGAGCAGTAGGCCATTCGGCCCCTCGAGTCTGCTCCCTCATTCAACAAGAAGTGGCCTTAATCCATATCCTACCCCTGATAGCCTTTGAATCCTCTGTTAGTCAAGAAAGGGGGGAAAAGAGGGATATGTAAGCATAGGATGTGGATTACGATGGAAGGCTAACCCTAACTGGCCTCCTAACTGAGCAAGTCCTGTTTTCATTTCAGATATTCAGCTTTTGTGGTCATTTGTCTTCAACTTGACAGAGTCCCTGCTTCTTTATGGCAACATCTGATCACTCACTGCTACATCCCATCCTTTCTCAAAATCAATTAAGCACCATTGTAATGTAGGAAGCCCAGCAGCCAGCTTGCACACAGTACATCTTCACAAGCTAAAAGCAATCTACCACGTACACAGACAACAATATTAGCAATTAGGAAAGCGAGTGACATGTTGGCCTTTATTGTAAGGTGACTGCAATAGAAGGACAAAGAAATCTTGCTACCATTGTTCAGGGCTTTGGTGAGACCTAGAATACAGTTGCGTTTCCATATTTAAGGAATATGCATTGCAGGGTTCAGCAAGGGTTCATGAGATAGGTTCTTGGGATGAAAGGGTTGTTCGATGATGAGTAAATTGGGTCCATAATCTCTGAAGTTTAGGTGAATGAGAAGTGATGTAATTGAAACAGCAAAGATTCTGAAGGGAAGCAGAAATTGCTGGAGAAACTCAGCAGGTCTGGCAACGTATGTGGAGAGAAAGCAGAGTTAATGTTTCAGGTCCAGTGACCCTTCCTCAGAACAAGAAGAGTCACAGCAGGCTCAAAACGTTAACTCTGATTTCTCTCCATAGATGCTGCCAGACCCACTCAGTTTCCCAGCAATTTCTATGTTTGTTTCAGATTTCCATCATCGACCATTCTTTGTTTTATGTTTATGATTCTGAAGGGTTTGAGAGGGTAAACACTGACAGGTAGTTTCCCCTCGAACTGGGGAACATAAAGCACAGGGGAACAGCCTCAGGATTAGAGAATCATTCAGGACTGAATTCTAAGGAAGGCTCACCCGACCGAAAACGTTAACTCTGGTTTCTCTCTACAGATGCTGCCAGACCTGCTGAGCTTTTCCTGCAATTTCCTGTTTTTCTTTCATTCAGGACTGAGCTGAGGGGAGAGTTCCTCACCCAGAGAGGTGTGTGTCTCTAGAATTCTCAACCCCAAAGGGGTGTGAATGCTCTATAGTTGAATACATACAAGGTTGGGATCAATAGACCTCTTGGGGAATCAAGGGATGTGGGAAGTAGGCAGGAAAGTGAATATGAGGCCAATATCAGCGATGATTATGTTGAATAATGGAGCAAGTTTGAGGTGCTGAATGCTACTACCTGCTACTCCTGCTCCTATTTCCTATGTTCTTAAAAGCAATGAGATGAAGTACTTATTGGTTCTTTTTTCGCTTTGGCATCGGTTGAGTGATAAATAGTGGGATATAAAGTGCACAGCACTCCCCTGATCTTCCTGCAATGGTACTGTGGAATTTTAATGCTCATTAACTCTCGGCTGATCTAACATCTTAAAGCCAAAGCCTGACAGTGCAGCTCTCCCTCTGGACTCCACAGGGTAGGGCCGCCTGGATTTTGTGCTCAACTGTCTGCATGTAAATTTGAACCCAGGCCCTACCAACACAAAAACATTCCAGCAACTAAACACATTATCAACATCTTCAATGTTTTAACTTTCAAACTGACAGCCTGTCCAGCCTTTAGCAATCTGCTTGTTTGTTGTTACTTCTACTGATTTATACTAATGAAGCATTATTCCTGCCGCTGCGATTGTCTTTTCCATTGGATACAATTGGGAGCATAATCTAGGCTGGCATCGAGACAGCAAGCACACTATAAAAACATGTCATTGTAAAACACTTTGCAAAGTGCTGAGGTTGCAAAGCCACACGGAAATGTAATTTGACATTACCATTACCAGGCACCAATACTCTGGTGCCTTCATCCCATTTCCTCACCAACACCCTACCACCCGCTTTTCGTACCCACCCCCCACCACCACCACCAACCCCCCACCCCCCGACAACTCCCGATGACTCTGTTTCTCACCTGTCTTATTATCACAGTCCTCAAACTCCACCATGACTGAGTGACCATTGTTACAGATGGACAGCGAGGTGCAGGCATTGTAGGATATGGAGACCGGTGTGAGGCAGGCGTCATAAACTGCCTGTGCGGGCACAATGTCAATGGGTGATTGGCGGTCCCCCTGTGCAAAGGGGAACTGCTTGTGCCAGTTCGAGGGGCCTGCAAGAGAAAACAGAATTCAGACACAGTGTTTCAGCACAGAGAGAGGCCATTCACTCCACTGAGTTAGTGCTGGCTCTCATCTTACTCTCTTTCCCCTTATGCCCCTGTGGTTTCCTTGCCAAGTGTATCCCTTTATCTAATATACCAAGGTGTAGAGCTGGATGAACACAGCAGGCCAAGCAGCATCAGCACAAGTCTGCTGTATTCATTCAGCTCTACACCTTGGTATCTCAGATTCTCCAGCATCTGCAGTTCCTACTATCCCTTTATCTAACGGTCGTTTCTGCTGTCTGAGTTTGATGGATTCAAAAGCTGTTTTGGTCACACCGGGGGAAAGATTGTGCCCAAGTCCCATTCAAAGTGTTACCTGGACAGGTACATCTCTGTCTGACCAGGCTTGCTGCATTACCCCCGACCCACAGACCTGCATGCCTTCTCTTCCATTTCCCAATTCTCCAATTCCTTCTCGAGAGATCCAAATGAATCTGCTCCCACCAGCCTTGCAGACAGTGCCTTCCGGATCACAACAACTTTAGCATTGAAAAAAAATCACCTCCTCCCCACGTTTCGTTCACAATCCCCAGCTCACGACCCCCACCCCCATCCCAGTGATTTCTGTCCCAGACTCACTGCAGCATAAGCACTTGAGGCAGAAGGGAGTTTACGCCCAGAATTAAATACACTTAAAACCACCGGATAAAACTTGCAAAACCCTACCAGGACCTCAGAGCGGCTGGAGGAAAACTCTCTCAGGGTTAGATTCTCGGAATTGTCTACCTTTTGACAAGCTGAGAAGCAGCAAAGATTTTTAGTATAATAAATCACACACTGACTGTACATACAGACATTACATTAACTATGCCCCTTCCGTTTAGCAATCTGTTCTTTCACAAAATGTTGAGAAATCCTAACTCCAGTAAAAAGGAAGACTGAAGGCTTACCGTTATCATCCCCATAGCCCCAGCAGTGTTGTCCATTCATGATGAACTGGGTACAGGGAGGCTGGATGGAATGAAGCACTGGAGTCAGAGTCTCCTTCTCTAAGTCTGCCTGTCTCTCACCTGCCTGTTGTTGTTGCTTTGGAGGTGGCACCAGTCACTGCGAGAGAGCGAGAGAGAGAGAGAGTGTTGGAGGGGGTTGGGGGCAAAGCAGCAGCAGTAGGTTTTATTTCCAGGGAATGTGAAGGTGTACAGTGGATAGCAGAGAGCTCGGCAGCGCCACTCGACGATGCTGCAGGCTCAGGTCCTACTGCTACTGCTGTGAGAGGGAGAGGGGGAAGAGAGAGAGAGGGAGAGAGAGGCTGCGAACGAATTTTAGATCTTACAGCTACGGCAACACTTCCTCAATTACTCTCCACCCTCTATAGCTTCAGGAGGAGGACAAACACAGGAACACGCATTTTCATTAAATCCGTTTGCTCAGCTTCCAGTTTCAACAGAAAATGAAACAAAATACTTCTTAACTCGCGTGTGAAAAGATCTCTCCACGCAGAGTCAGAATTTCTGTTTAAAAATACTATTGAAGATAATAAGAAATACTCGGTCGTTAATAAATGAACGTGTCAACTGTACCTCCCTCTCAATCAAAGAAGCTGGAGTTGAGCTCCCTGCACAGGCATCAGCTTGCGGTTAGCTCTGTCAAAATCACGATGGAATTTCTGTGTCAATCGGACGAAATATATTCGACACATGATTTTTTCCCCATGTTTTGAGGGAATTGGACTTGAATTCCGACCTTCTACTTCAGGCGTAGGAACTCCATCATTACACCACAAGAGCCCCTTTGATTTCTTTTATGTTTCAACAATTTACAAAACATGCTTTTGCTCCTAAACTGACATCCTAACCACCCACCAGTAAAATGCACATTTCTGCCCCGGCCTCTGTTTTTTTAGCTGGGGTATTGAATAGAAACAATCTCTGATTTCAGATTTAGTAATCAAACCATGGAGAAAACTGTGCTGTTTTTTGGAAAGAGAGAGGCAGCAGTCATTAACCCTTTCATCTCCAATACTGAAAGAAGCCTGTCCTTTTGATAACAGAATTGAACAAATGAACCCTGTTCCCCAAGTGACAGCAAACAGGAAGCTCCGGTGAACATTTTTTTTATTCATTCACAGGATGAGAGGCCAGTGATTCTAGCCCATCCCCAATTACCCTTGAACTAAGTGGCTCCCTAGACCATTTCAGGGGGCAGTTAAGAGTCAACCATATCACTGTGGGTCTGCAGTCACATGTAGACCAGATCCGGAAAAGGCAGCAGTTTCCTGCTCTAAAGGACATTAGTGAACTTTACAATCATAATATGGGTTAGAATGTATATGGAATGGGCTGCCTGAGAAAGTGGTTGAGACAGGTACAATAGCAACATTTAAAAAGCACTTGGATAGGTACATGGATGGAAAGGGTTTAGGGGGATATGGACCAAATGCGGGCAATTGGAACTAGCTGAGTGGGCACCATGGTCAGCATGGACCAGTTTGGGCCAAAGGGCCTGTTTCCATGCTGTATTACTCTATAACTCTATAAACAAAGACCCCTCCCAACCCATTATAATCTCTTCCCATCTCTTCTGCCAGGCAGAAGATACAAAAGCTTAAACACCCCTGTCACCTAGTAAGGGGATGAAACATCTGATATCAGACCTCCCAGCTCGGCAAACACACCAACATCTACATTTGAGAGAGCTAGGGCTTTTCTCTTTAGAACGACGAAGGATGAGAGGTGACTTGATAGGGGTGTACAAAATGATCAGAAGTATAGATAGAGTGGACAGCCAGAGACTTTTTCCTAGGGTGGAGGTAATTATTACGAGGGGGCATAGTTTTAAAGTGAGTGAAGGTAGATGTAGGGGAGACGTCAGAGGTAGGTTCTTTACTCAGAGAGTGGTCGGGGCGTGGAATGCTTTGCCGGAGAGGGTAGTGGAGTCGGCCTCATTAGCGGCATTTAAGTGGCTATTAGATAGGCATATGGATGATAGTATAAGGTAGCAGTGGAGGTTAGATAGACCTTAGGTTTCGGGTAAAAGTTCGGCACAACATTGTGGGCCGAAGGGCCTGTACTGTGCTGTACTGTTCTATGTTCTACTACAGAGCCTCTCTTCGGACAATGAGACTAAACCCAGGAACTAGGAGCAATTGAATTAATCTTTGCTACACCAAGTACAAGTCCTTTCCCTGGATATGGAGACCGCACACTTTATAATTATACAGCATTTAAATTCAATTAATAAAAATCTGGAACTGAAAGGTGGTCTCAGTAATGGAGACCATGAAACAATCATTGTGTGGAGCTGGAGGTATACAGCAAGTCAGGCAGCATCAGAGGAGCAGGAAAATCGATGTTTTGGGCCAGGACCCTTCTTCAGAAATAGGTTCTGAATATTTCTGAAGGAGGGCCCCAACGCGAAACGTCAGCTTTCCTGCTCCTCTGATGCTGCCTGGCCTGCTGCGTTCATCCAGCTCCACACTGTGTTACCTCTGACTCCAGCACCTCCAGTCCTTACTATCAATGAAACTATCATTGACTGTTTTAAAGAAACATCTGGTTCACTAATGCCCTTTACAGATGGAAATCTGCTCTCCTTACCTGGTTTGTCCTACATGTAGCTCCAGAACCCACAGTAATGCAATTGACTCAACTGCCCTCTGAAATAGCCTTAGCCAGACACACAGTTCCAGTGCAGTTAGGGATGGGTAACAAATGCTGACCTTACCAGTGCTAACCACATCCCATAAATGAATATAGTAGAAAATGATTCCATTCTCTTGCAATAATGGCAACATGCTATTTGCCTTCCTAATTGCTTACTATACCTGAAAACTAGCTTACCCTGATCCTTGTTGTATACACTATTCTCTGCTAACATCCATAGTTACAAGTTTCACACCTTTTAAAAGATTTTATATTCTTAACACCAAAATGAATAACTTTGACCTTCTGCACATTGTACTCCATCTACCACCTTGTTTCCCATTCACTTCACCTTTCTATTGCATCTTTGCAGCCTCTCTACATTCTATTTATAGAGGCTTGGATAGGGTGGATATTCGGAGTCTTTTTCCCAGGGTGGAAACATCAAATATTAGGGGCATAGGTTTAATATAAGGGGGAAAGTTTAAAGGAGATGTGTAAAGGAAGTGTTTTACACAGAGGGCGGTAGGTGCTTGGAATATGCTGCCAGGGGAGGTGGTGGAAGCACTATATAACAATGTTCAAAAGTTATTTGGATAGGCACACAGGCAGGCAGGGAGTAGAGGGACATGGAGCATGTGCTGTCAAATGTGGGCATATTATTCTCTGACTCAGCATCTAGGTCATTAATACTGATGGTAAATAGTTGAGAGCCCATGACTAATCCTTATAGCACATCACTTGCAATAGTCTACAACTTTAAAATGCCCTGTTCATTCCTATTTACTGATTCTTGTCCATTAACCCCATCCTGTATTCGTTTTAATTCACATTACCCCAAATCAGTGAGCCCTGATCTTGTCTATTAACATTTTATGAAGGCCTTTTGGAGATCCAAGTATACTACACTTCCTGATTCCCCTCTATCTACCTTAATGGTACACCCTCGCAAAATAAATTTATCAAACAAGATTTCTCCTTCATAAAACAACAATGAACCTATCTGATCACACTATACTTTGCAGAGTGCATTACTGAGACATTCTTCAATTCTTCATAATGGGTTCCAGCATTTTGCCTATGACTGATGTCTGACTAACTCGCCAGCAGTTTGGAGTGTGTGCAGACATGATGGGTTGAATGGCCTCCTTCTGTGATTCCCTTCTTTTTCTCTCTCCCCTTTCTTGAATAGTTGTGTTACAGTTGCTAATTCTGCCTGGACTGTTTTAGAATCTATTACTCTGAAGACTGACACAAGACTTGTTCAACATCTCTGTCATTCCTCATTACTTCTTTGAACTCTGCGTCTAAGGGACAAATGTTTACTTTAGCTACTCTCTTCCTTGTTTTATATATATTGTAAATGTTTTTACAATCAGTTTTTATATTCTGTGGTATTTCACACCAACATGCCATTTCTTCCCTTTTTATCCACTTTTTGGTAGCTGTTTGGTAATTTCTTAACTCTCCCCATTCTCATGTTTACAGCTTTTCTTAGCAGTACTATAAGTCTCTTTTTTTATTACACCACCCCTATAAGCTACTGGTAAATATTTATTGCTGAGAGTTTGTTTTTAATAGAATGTGTTTTTGTGGAACATTTTCAATAACTTTCAAAGTTTCTCCCTGTTTATTTACATCATACCTTTTAATCAGGAAGAAACAAGGTTTTTTATTAAATGCATTGAATTATGTTTTGGAATTTGCACTGTCTAGTGGAAGTACATTTAACACAGAATTGGATGCAATATGGCAGGGAAATAAGTAAGCGAAAGGGCGAGGGGAGTGGGAATAATTGAATAGCTCTTGTAAAGAGCTAGCACAGACACAACGGGTTGAATGGCTTCTGATGAGGTGACAGACGCTGTGGAGTATATTCTGAGGATGTGGACATTACTGGCTAATATTTATTGTTCAGTGTCCACCATATTGCTGTGGGTCTGGAGTCACACACAGGCCAGAGCAGGTAAAGGTGGCAGATTTTAGGGCATTGGTGAAGTTTTTTTATGACAATTGGCAGTGGCTTCAGGGCAAACTTCTTATTGCATTTAAATTTCATCATCTGTCGTGGTGGGAATTTGTTAATGTTGATCTTGCTTCACGCGCCTCCTGTGCAGTGTAACCTGTATGCCTCACTCTGTCTAAGCACCCTATGATCTGTATGTCCTTGCTTACTATGATCTGCCTGTACTGCTTGCAAAACAAAGCTTTTCACTGTACTTAGGTACAAGTGCCTACAATAAATCAAAGAAGGGACTAGAACTCAGGATATTAACCAAAGGTTCTGGAATTACATTGCCACTACATCACCAGCTCCCCATGATATAGTCCAATGTTGGAGAGGCATGGATAGGGCGGATAGTCGGAGTCTTTTTCCCAGGATGGAAATGTCAAATATTAGGGGACATAAGGTTAAGGTGAGAGGTGGAAATTTTAGAGGAGACATATAAGGGAAGTGTTTACACAGAGGGTGGTAGGTGCCTGGAATGTGCTGCCAGGGTAGGTGATGGGAGAACCATATAACCATGTTCAAGAGGTATTTGGACAGACAGACAGGCAGGCAGGGAGAAAAGGGAAATGCGAGCATGTGCAGACAGATCTGATGAGTATAAAATGGCATCATGGTTGGTATAGAC